CCCCCCCCCGTGGTGCCTGTCCTTCGCCTGGGGCCGTCACCCTCTCCTGGCTTCAGGCCACCTCCACCATCTTCCAGTTGACCTGCTTGGGTCTCCGCTGGGGGACAGGGCTGGGGGCCATTCTTCCCTGGATGCCTTTCCTCTCTGCCCCTCGGGGATGGGATCAGGGTGGCCCTGTCCAGTTAGATGTGCCCTTGACCTTGGCCCCTGGCAGGGTGCCCGGGGCCACTGGGTCCTGTTTCTGCAGCTGGAGGGAGGTGGGAGGTGGGCTGGGACAGGGGACCCCAGGCGCCTCCGCCTGTGCCAGCACCCACCCCGCGGCCCTCGGTTGAGATGAGGAGCTGTCCCCGCTCTGCTGCATCCCATGACCTCGCCCAGGTGACTGGTGGCTGCAGTCTCAGGCAGGGTCCCCACTGCCTCCCAGCCTGGTCCCCTCCTGGTAAGACTGGGCACAACAGTGCGGGGGCAGGGGACTCGGGGCCCCACTGCAGAGCCTAGACCCCAGGACATTTTCTCTGTTCCTGTCCTTCCACCTGCCCGAGCCCCAGGGACTCCAGTATTATCACACGTTTGCAGGGACCCCACCAAACTGGGTCCAGACACCCAGCACTGAAGAGGCTGCCGGGACGGGAGGTGGGCCCCGGCTGGATGCGATGGGCTGGGCAGGAGCAGCCTGGGGCCACACAGGGGTGGGTGCAGCCTCCGGTCTGGAGGGGCTTCAGAGACAGGCACCTGCCAGAATTGACACCCAAAGTCCAGGCGTTCCCTGGGGGCAGTGGCCTCAAATCAACCCCCCTCTGTGTCACCCCAGCCCTCCGGAGGCTGAGAGAAGAGGATGGCAGAGTCAAGGCCAGCCTCAGCACCTTAGTGAGACCCTGTCTCAAAATAAATAATAAAAAGGGCTGGGATGTGGCTCAGGGGTACCCGACTCTGGGCTCAGTTCCCTGGACGGAAAACAATCGATCAAACCCCTGGGCTGTCTGCAGGCTGTCACCCCTTGCAAAACGGGGTGTGAGCAGCTCACATCCCCAGCTATCACAGGGTAAAGGAGCTGGAGAGAGTGGGCAAACACTTGGCGCCTACTGGCTGCTCAGAGAGCAGGGTCTGTTACCCGGTACCCAGCACGCGCCTGCGGCTTGCCCTTAGCAGTTAGGTCCTGTGTGTGGAGCCCAAAGTGACACACACACTCAAAAGCCAGGGGACGGCGGCCTGTGGGAGGCCCTGGGCTGGGTTCTGGGCTCCACCCACGGTTAATACTGGGTAAATCGAGGCCCTTCAGCGAGGGGGCTGGGTCTCCTGGGGGCGGGGCTTATTTTAAACAAATGGAGAGGAGGCGGGGAGTGGGGGCCTGGCGTCTTCCCGCCTGTTCCTAGGCCACTCACGGGCCTCGCTCCTGGTCTCCCTCTCCCTGGGGAGGCCCGGCCTCCGCTTGATCCCTGGATTGAGGTTTAACCAGGAGAAGTTCAGGGAGAAGGCCTCCCAGGTGTGTGGCCAGAGAGGCCGCGTGGAGGGGGCGGGACCCGGGGCTGCGTTGATGCGGCACCGCGGGGTCTTCACTTTGGCCACTGAGTGTCTCCTTTGGTTGTTCATTGGCGGGGTCGGCCTGCCCCGCTGGACGGGGCTCTAAGGGTGGTATCTTCGTCTCCTTCCCTGCAGTGCCCGGTGTGCAGTAGGCGCTCAATAAGTGTTGAGTAAAAATACACAGGTCCTGCAGATACTCCTGGGCTTCTCCCAGAATCCCAGCCCTCCCCCGCTCCCTCTGTGGCCACATCTGGCCTGTCCTGGGTCCCACCTTCCCCCTTCCCTAAGGCACAGGCCACGCGGCCCCTGCACCCTCATTCCCCTACCCTCAGAGCCCGACGCACCCGGGGGCTCTCTTGGAGGAGGTGGAGCCTTTAAGAGGCGGGGCCTGGTGGGAGGCCTTAGGCCATTGGGGGCGTGGCCTCGGGAGCCCATCTTCCCCCTCCCCTCTTGGCTCCTGGTCCCGCTGCACGGAGCTCCGCCCTGGTACCTTGATGTCCCTCCTCCCCGAAGGCCCGGGTGTCTGTTATGGTGACAGGCGGCCAGCACACCGACGCAGTTGGGGGTGTGTCGAGTTGGAAAGATGACCAAAATCAACTCAAACTGTGCCGATTCCCTTTCCCCCGTGCAATGTCACACTGCCCTGGGGCCAGCGGGATATTTCCAGTGGACAGTGCCAAGGTGATGAGATTGAATTGCTAGGATGTGTCGCTTTTTCACTGACCACCAGAGGGCGCTGTGCCCCCGCAGCAGGGTAAGGCCATCTGGAGTCTGTAGGAGCAGGAAGTAGTTCTGGCAAACTATTGGTCCTTTGTGGTTGTTGAGTTCTTAAGCTCAGACCTGTTTGCCACCCATATTTTTACCGTCTCAGGGACACAGATCTGTCCACTGGGTGAGGATTCTATTCCACCTCTGACCCGTTTTATTCTGCCAACAAGGGGAGAGAATTAGGCTTCCAATACCCCCACTGATTCTGCAGCACTTATTGACACCTGTTGCATACTACACTGTATTTGCTTGAGGCAGTCCCCACCCCTCAGACCAATTCATCCCAACAGATGAGAATGTTTTTTTCTTCCCTTTTTCCCAAATGAGAAAACTGAGGCCCAGAGAGGGAAAGTGAGTTGCCCAAAGTGGCCCAGCTCAGCCCAGGCCTTCCCACCCAGCTCTGCCTGGCTCCAAAGCCTCTGGGCTCCTTCTCTTGGGCAGCTGCCTCTCAGCCTCTAATAAACTCCCGAGAAGCACTGGGCAGACGGCGGCGAGGACACGCTATCTGTCGGGATCGGGCGGCTCGCTGGCGCAGGCCGTGATGGATTCTGAGTCTCCCATTTATCACGGCGGCAGGAGCGAGGGCGCCTGGAATCCCCACCCGGGCCTCGTGGCCCTGGGCAGCCTGGAGCCAGGCACAGAGGTGGCAAGAACTGGGCGGGGAGGGGCCTGGGCGAGCCGGGGCGGAGCCGCACTCGGGGCTGCTGGGTCCGGGCGCCCCGCAGTGACCAGACCAGTCTCCACCTTCGCGGTGCCCAGAGGCTCGCGGGGAAACACACCAATGAATAATAATATGAATAATTGATGTCACCGAGGAGTGGAACAGGATGTCCCCAGAATACAAAGCCAGGTGGCCGCTGCTCCGCCCCCGCCCACCACTGGGAGGTGCAGGGGAAGGCTGGAAGGTGGAGGCAGCAAGTGCAGAGGCTGTGCAGCCTCCATCTGGGGAGCTGCCGTCAGGAGCCCTCAGGGCACAGCCTGGAACCCTCACTGTGTGGCCAGCAGCCTTCAGTGGACAGCCAGGGGCCCTCACTGGACGTCTCCTCGATGCCGCGTTCGTGGCAAGGCCGCCCTGCCCCAGGTGGTGGGAGGCTCTGCTAGTTCCCCCCCACATGTCCCAGACCCCCTGGGGCACGAGGGGCAGCCCGGGTTCCTGTCAGGAGGACGCTCCAGGCCCCGTCCGAGGCCCGTCCTCTGTGGGCAGGTGGGAAACTGGCCCAGGAGAGGCCCCGCCCGAGTTCAGCAGGACGCCGCTGGGCGGGGGCTTCAGAGCCCCCAGGAGCCCGCCCTGCAGCTCCCACACTTTGTTAGACCGTGGGCCCACGGGGGCGGCAGCGGAGTGGCCTGGTACCACACTGTCCCCAGGCCTCGGCGGTGCCTAGGATGGACCCAGGGCCAAGCGTGCAGGGCCAGTGCTGACCAGGGAGGCCCAGGCCTGCTCAGCAGGGTGTCGGGGACACAGTCTGGAACGGCAGGGTGACCCAGGTCGGGGACGGGGCCGGGCAGAGCGGGGCTGAGGTCCTGCGGTTCGGGCTGCACTTGGACACTACTGCGGAGGCGCCCGGGTCCCCCACCCAGGGAGCCCCTCCCGCCCTCTGGGGCCCTGGCGGGCTGCCAAGTCTCACCCGAAACTCGGGCGCCCAGACTTGCCCTGGGTGGGGCCGGACGAG